TATGTTTTCAGATTACAAACTCCAAGTGATGTATAAGATGTCTATAGCACCGGATAACGAACTCATTATGTCAAATGGCTTACCCTGAAGGAATGGAGGTACAAGTACAGTATACTTTTTTGTGTGGAAAATTTAACTTCAAAAATCCAGTTTTAAAATTGATGACAGCTTTCATTGGTAATGTTCTTGTAAGTGTCACTCATTGCTTTTATGTTTCTACTGTGTTGGTTGTTTCAGAAAAAAAATTTCAAGAATTTTCAGATGGTGTGTGTGATGTTATGCCTCCTGAATGTCTATGAGTTTTGTAGGTATGATTAACATGATGGTTGTATCATTCTGTGAAGGTTGGAGTTGCATGTTATTGGGGGCATACCATGTAGAATGCAATGTATATATAGAGTCTTCTATTCTAACCCAATTTATGTAATATTGAAGAACTGGGTCCAACCCAGGAGCAGGTTTCAACAGCAAGTGAAGTCATGCATTAAAAAAAAATAATTCTCTGCTTTATCTTAATTATGGAACATTTGGATCATGCATACACTATATTCTGTCTGTTGTACATTACATATGAAAAAAAAACTACTGGGACTCTTCACAAGGAATTCTTGTAATGCTGTACCTTCAGTGTCTGTTCAGGAATTTAATGGAGTTCAAAAATGATGGTTTCAATTTGCCTGAATGATCTGTACTTAGTTCATTCTTTATTAGATGGTTATACAGCATCAGTTATTGGATGCATGGAACATTTTAGACATCACATCAAGTGAGTTGATATTATGAGGGGGAGATATTTTGTCTTGTAAATACCTTGATGTTAAGTAGAATGGATAAAGTCAACTTATGGTGAAAGTATCCCTGAGTTTGTTAGGGTATAAGACATCTTTCAAACTTGTGTTATACCAGCTTGGTGCTGAACATCGGCATGCAGTGTACAGTAGTATACATGTACAATATTTATGCTCATCTGTGTGGGTTTTCCTTACAATGAATCTGTATAGGGATTGTTGTGAGAAATTATTATTGAGAATCAGTGACGCGAAATGGCGGCGATCCCGAGTCATCGCGTGTCTCGGAAAATAGACTTTTGCGGACCAGTGCAGCCTTCAGTGATGATGCATCATCATCATCATCATCTTCATCATAATCATCAGCATAATCATCTCCAGAATCGGAAACGAGGGGTGCATCTCCTGTTGCGTTCCGGGGGTAGTGCGGGTGCTGGCAACCCCGGATCCACCTTCGTGGTCACCAAGCCGACAGTCATGAAGGTACGGTACGGTAATGTACCCTTTGAGAAACACGGCATCTGATGTTCGTGACGTCAATTTTCTTAGCCCGTTGGCAACTCCTTGGTGCTTTCGCCAAAGGAACCACCCCCGGACACCATCCTGCTCAGCCCACAGCAAATGTGAGTTACATTTTGCATCATCACTTATTTTACATTATTTTTATTTTACACTAGGNGCAGATTTGCATAATTATAATAATGTAACATTATACAAAAAGGCTGATTTGCCAAGAGCCCATCAGCTGATGTAAAATTATTTGCAAGTACTGCATGTCCATTCCAGATTTTCTTGGTAATCTCTTTAAATCATTCTTGGAAACAATTATGAATGAATATTTCCAATAATAAAATATGGAAAACCATGCCACTCGATAGGAAAAAAACTGGCAATCAGATTTCATTTATAAACAAAATCAAGAATACCAGGAAAGGGTTTTTTCATTTTTAAAAATTACATGAACAGTCCATTTTCCCAAGGAAACTAAACAGCATTTTGTGGGCTTTTGCGGATACAGTAAAGGACAGTACAGTATTCCAAGTTGGGTCCACTATCCAAAACAAGAATAAGTGGCAATCTGAGTTCATTTCGCGAGGCCTTCATGATTAGTTAGGATTAGCAAAAAAATGCATTCCAACACTGTTAATTACATCATAAATTTCCGCAAAAAAAAGAAAGAACGAAAGAAAGAAAACGCCCGGTGCTAACACATTCGCAGAACAAAGTTGGCACCACGCAGGCGACCAGCCGGCCAGTGTTTTGCTTCTGTCCCACTGTCCCCGGACCCGCTGTTACTAACCGGCACTCTTGCATCCCAACACTCCCGGCTCCTCGGAAACACACCACAACACGCCTCCGTACGACTCACCAGGAGGGACTACGACGAGCGCGCGAGGGAGGCGGTTACATGTGCTGTGCTGTGCCTCAGCGCAGTTATATCTCTCCCTCTCTCCCTGCTAATATAAGCTGGGAAAACCGGTTCTCGTGCCCGGGCTGCGCCTCAGTGTTCGTCGAGAGGGAGTAGCGTCAACATGTTCAACTCGGCTTGCCTCTCTCTGCATCATTCCGCCCTTCGCCTTTCCCCCCCTATCTGAACTCGTTTTTGTGTAAGATGAGCACAAGCCAGAAATAAAAAAAAATGTGATGCGCAGCGCGTGGGTTCGTCAGCTGTGTAGTGTTTATGGCCTGCCCCTGAGGCCGTGAGAGCCGGGTTTCGGATCCTGATGGCGTGTTGCTACCTCGGAGGTTGCTATTGTTTTCATTTTTTTTGCACCCCTGGCTTGGAATAAGGTATTGTGCGGTTCTGTGATTTGGGAGCAACATTTCTTTTGAAGCGTGACAAGACACAGCATGGAGTACTGTACTGTACATATTGGTAAACCCGGGTACAGTGTAGCAAGCGCCATTTGTCCAACATATGTTTTCAGATTACAAACTCCAAGTGATGTATAAGATGTCTATAGCACCGGATAACGAACTCATTATGTCAAATGGCTTACCCTGAAGGAATGGAGGTACAAGTACAGTATACTTTTTTGTGTGGAAAATTTAACTTCAAAAATCCAGTTTTAAAATTGATGACAGCTTTCATTGGTAATGTTCTTGTAAGTGTCACTCATTGCTTTTATGTTTCTACTGTGTTGGTTGTTTCAGAAAAAAAATTTCAAGAATTTTCAGATGGTGTGTGTGATGTTATGCCTCCTGAATGTCTATGAGTTTTGTAGGTATGATTAACATGATGGTTGTATCATTCTGTGAAGGTTGGAGTTGCATGTTATTGGGGGCATACCATGTAGAATGCAATGTATATATAGAGTCTTCTATTCTAACCCAATTTATGTAATATTGAAGAACTGGGTCCAACCCAGGAGCAGGTTTCAACAGCAAGTGAAGTCATGCATTAAAAAAAAATAATTCTCTGCTTTATCTTAATTATGGAACATTTGGATCATGCATACACTATATTCTGTCTGTTGTACATTACATATGAAAAAAAAACTACTGGGACTCTTCACAAGGAATTCTTGTAATGCTGTACCTTCAGTGTCTGTTCAGGAATTTAATGGAGTTCAAAAATGATGGTTTCAATTTGCCTGAATGATCTGTACTTAGTTCATTCTTTATTAGATGGTTATACAGCATCAGTTATTGGATGCATGGAACATTTTAGACATCACATCAAGTGAGTTGATATTATGAGGGGGAGATATTTTGTCTTGTAAATACCTTGATGTTAAGTAGAATGGATAAAGTCAACTTATGGTGAAAGTATCCCTGAGTTTGTTAGGGTATAAGACATCTTTCAAACTTGTGTTACACCAGCTTGGTGCTGAACATCGGCATGCAGTGTACAGTAGTATACATGTACAATATTTATGCTCATCTGTGTGGGTTTTCCTTACAATGAATCTGTATAGGGATTGTTGTGAGAAATTATTATTGAGAATCAGTGACGCGAAATGGCGGCGATCCCGAGTCATCGCGTGTCTCGGAAAATAGACTTTTGCGGACCAGTGCAGCCTTCAGTGATGATGCATCATCATCATCATCATCTTCATCATAATCATCAGCATAATCATCTCCAGAATCGGAAACGAGGGGTGCATCTCCTGTTGCGTTCCGGGGGTAGTGCGGGTGCTGGCAACCCCGGATCCACCTTCGTGGTCACCAAGCCGACAGTCATGAAGGTACGGTACGGTAATGTACCCTTTCAGAAACACGGCATCTGATGTTCGTGACGTCAATTTTCTTAGCCCGTTGGCAACTCCTTGGTGCTTTCGCCAAAGGAACCACCCCCGGACACCATCCTGCTCAGCCCACAGCAAATGTGAGTTACATTTTGCATCATCACTTATTTTACATTATTTTTATTTTACACTAGGAGGTTGATTAGATTAATAATGAGTCTGATGCTTATAAAGGGTGGGTCAAATCTTGAGTTCAACAGCTGTGTTGCTGATAACTTGAAACCTGGTATTTGTCCATTTGTGCTGCTATGCTTTATGATACAGTATCTCACATATATCTGAAAACATTAAGTTATGTGTTTTTTTTTCAAAAATGACAACAATAAGAATATTCCCCAGGGATTTGAAACATGTGCAGTCAAACCTCTCCAAGTCAAATTTTTAGGGACCAGGAAAAAAAAAATTGGGGGATTTTGATATGGTTTTGAGTTAGGGAAACAATGATTTTTGCTGCCAGGATAAATGCTGGAAAAAATTGCAGGAAATTGTAAATGAGGATATTCTGGGTCTAAAATTGCTTCTGTATGAGTTTACAGCTTGCTGAACTTGGATACAGGGGTTCATTTGCTTGATTTGTCCTTCTCTTCCTTTCAAGATGCTTAAAATTATTTGTTTCATTGATTTTTTTCTTTCATGTTCCAATTAAATAGCAACCAAAAGACCTTAGAAAATTTGACTTACAGAGGTTTGAGAGAAAAAGACTTGAGAGTTAGGGAGGTTTTTAATGCATTGTTTCTGAGGGAATCAGATGAAGACTAGAAAAAAAAAGTTTAGTTAGGGAGGTATTTGACTCAGAGAGGTTCTACTGTAATTTGATATTTATTTATTTATTCTTTTTGATAAGTTTGTATTATATTCACTGAATACATTTTGTAGAGGAATTCTCCCTGATAATTTTTTACTGAGGAACCAGAACTTTTTTTTTAAAGACATGGAAACTGATACATCAGAGTATCCAAAAGTAATTTTGGAAAAGGAAAATAACATGCTGTGTTATGAAATTTGTGGAAACTGTGCTTGTGTGAGATTTTGCCTAAGGATATTTAGTCATATATGTACTTGTGTTTGTGTCCTGTGGAAGAGTAGTGATTTTTCTTGTTGAAACAGGACCAGGAAGAAAGAAAGAAAGAAAGGGAATATGTGTGTGGGTCAGGCTTAAAGAAGAAGTGGAACCCTGGGTTTTTTTGGTGGTAGGTGGAGGGGGGGGTCGTCTTTTTTCTTTCCTCCTCCTCCTCCTTACACCCCCCCCCTCTTCCATGACCGTGTTTCATTTTCGGTCGGGATCGTGACCTACTTCACATCCGGGAGAGAGAGGGACTTTTGGTTC